AACTCTTAAAAATAATACAAAAAATAAAAATTTATTTACTTAATATCAAATTCATTTCAGATTCTAACTCTTTATCAGTATTTTTTTCAACTTTAACAACCTTTAAATTAAGAATATACTTAGAGAGAATATATCAAGAAAAAGAATTATAATTTTTATTAATTGTTTTAAATATATCAATTACAAATAGATTATTTATAGTTTCAAAAAAAAAACTTAATATATACTTAAGCTTTTAGAATTGATTTACAATTTCATATTATCTATCTTTTGATATTATTTCTAAATTTGATTAACTAGATTTATTTTTTTCAATTTTACATCACCATTTACTAGTTTTTTCTTTTTCTGCTAAATTATTTCACTATAATTCTTTAATATCTTGTAGAACATTTGAACATTCTTGTGCTAAATGATATTTAAGTTGCCATAGTCTTTCATATCACTAAGCAACCTCACAATATTTACAAATTACACCATAGTGCATATCATCTAAATATTTTCCAATAGAAAAATAATTCCAGACTAGATCTAGGTTAGATCCACTATGATGCTTTTTCTTAGACTGATTTGAAAAAAGATGATTTTCTTCAGATAAATTATGATTATCAGAATGTTGGATAGATAGATAAGAAATCGATGTATCCATATCATAATACTGATCTAATTCAAATGAAGAGTGTTGCTCTTGGTTGTTAATATCGTTACTAGTAAATGATTCCATTATTGTTATATTGAAATTTTATTAAAATTTTTAAAACAAATAAAAAAAAAATAAAAAAAAATTTTTTTTTATATACTCTACAAAGTTAATAATAGGCAGGTTACGACATTTTATTATTAGAAGCAATAAAGTTACGACATTGATCATTAGTTACGGCATTAGAATAAAGTTGCGAAGCTAATTTTAATGATTTTTGCCGCAACCGTAACCGTAACTTGTTGTAACTTGCAAAATTCATTGGGACGAATTTACCTGCATTACTAGTTTTTATGTTAAATTAGGATTAAACGTTGGCTTGTGTACTACATAGTAAATTAGATTAGGTATACGTATAGATAGTAAAGTAGTGATGGGACCCAAACCCGATGGTTTCAGCACGTGCCCAAATCCCAAATAGCCGAAACTAGTTTGGGATTTGCTGTAACACAATCCCAAAATAGGAGTTTACAAT